ACTCCTGCCAGCTGAGCATCTGCTTCTTTGGGTTCATTACAGGATGCTGTGGGATGGAGATGGCCACAGGTGGACAGAGGTGCTTGCAGGAGGTTCAGAGACAGTAATCAGACTTGAAGGAAAATCTTGTAGGTACATCTGATGGATTCATGCCACAAAGTCCCCAAATGCTCTTAGACATTACAGACTGAGGGTACCTGAAATAGCCATAATGCTTGACCTCCAAGGGCACCTTGAGGCCCATGTACTGAGCAGAGGCTCTGCTGGAGTCAGGGGACAAAACCCACCAGCTTGTGCATTCTGCACATGCTGTGTCTCCAGCAGACACACTGAGAGCCCAAACTCAACAGGTGAAATTGTGATGCTGTGCAGAGTGGGTGATGAGGAACTGACCATCAAATCACCAGGTCCTGCCTCCCCACTCCCATCAGACAGCTTGTGACTGATAAACCCTGAGATTTGCTAACCTGGGTAGAGCACTGTGCTAGTGACACCCATAGGTTTGAGGGCTTGATTCCTGTATGGGTCATTCACTTAGAGTTGGACTTGATACTTGTGGGTCCCTTCCAACTCAGAATATTTTGTGATTCTGTGACCAGTGTGTGGGTTGTGGATCCACAATCCTGGTTGTGGATCTTGCTAAGCTTTTATCTTCAGGATATACCATGACAACCTTTGGATGCACAGGCTGTCATTCCAACCTCTGAGACCGGACTGAAGGCAAGCCCCCTCTGCTCTGCCCTGCCTCTGCCCTGCTTTCTTTCACACCTGCCTAGCTTGGCTTTTTTCATTCATCTTTTCATTCTCCAGCCCAATATATTTCAAGAGGAGCAGGCAGCAAGGGAATGTGTAGCTGGCATGTGGCTTCTCACCAACACGACACGAGAAAGCATTACGGAATTTTCAGCCAAGGATGAGCAAAGCCATGTTCAGTCACCCTGATGTTTAACCTCTTTTTAGTGCTGTCCCTATACAGAAAAAAGTGTTTTCTCTTTCCTTCCTTCATTTTTCCCCTTTTTAAAATTAAAATAATCTATCTCTGAGCCCTTGTGTCTAAAATAATTCCAGCCAGTGCTTCAGTGCTAAACCCACTCATGCCTGGGCAGCCCAAGTCAGCTCCTGCAATGGAAATCCCCTTTCCTTTCTCACTGCTTCTTTTTGCCTGCAGCAAAGTCACCTGCCTTTGGTAGATTCCCCAAAATCCCCAAAATCTCAGCCCCCACCCAGATGACGGCAGCCATGCAATTACAACTGTGTGCAGCCGTGCTGGAGGGCCATGGCACGGCCGGGCTGGAGAGCCTGGGTCACAGCCAGCCTGCTCGCTGAGGAGGATGGCGAGTGAAGGGCTGGGAGGGATTTGTCGCTGATGATATTGTTACATTCTTTCCGAATCCTGGGAGTAAACAGACGCTCCAAATTTAGAAAGAACAGGACTGGAAAATTTAAACATTCCTTGAAGAATTGGTACAAAAGCGGGGGGGGGGGGGCGCTGAAGATGATCTCACAGGCGCTCCCGAGCCAGATGAAAAGCTCATGACTGGAGCTCAGAACGCAGCTGAGGGGCCTGTTTCAGGTCGGAGTGCGATATCGCAGAGGAAAAGCTCCCCCAGCACATGGAACTTAGCAGAAAGAGCCTCTGTCAGGCAAGGGGGGTCCCAAGTCCCCCTTGTGTGCCACTGCTGGCCACTCTGCCATCCTGGTTTTATCTCCAGCTGGCACACGGCTTCCAGCGTGGGAGAGAGGAGCCCGGTGCTCAGCAAAGGACCAGGAGTAGGGACAGGATGGGAGGCTGAGCATCACCTGGACCAGCATCCCAAGCCCTCAGCTGTCACTTTTAGTCACTGAATAGGAGCAGAAGAAAATCTCCACACTGCCTGCTGTAGTTGGACAAATGGAGAGGAGCTGGTGAAGCTCAGCACTCACCAGCTCAGCACCACACAGGGCTCTAGACAGGCTCCCATAGCAGAGCTGGCACATGGGAGCTGTCAGGAGCAATGGAGCCAGACTGCTGCTGCTGCTCCTGCTTCAGAAGCAGATAATGCCTCTTAATAAAACCCAAGCGGGTGATTACAAGATGGGAAGAATAAGGGGAGGAATTACAAAGGGGAAGAATAAGGGAGGAAAAATATAGCAAAATAAAAAAAAAAAAAGGAAAAAAAGGAAAAAAAACAGAAAAAAAAAAGCAAAAAAGCAAGGGTTTGTGCTGAAGTAAACAAAGGTTAAAGAACAGTCAGGCTCCTGCAGGAATAGCAGAGCTGGGCTGGGAGGGAGGGGGCATTACGTAATGCAGGAAAAATGTTGGCTCCATTCAGTTTTCCACCACTTCATGTGATGTCAGGAAAACCATATAAATCAACAGTCTTTCTGCTCCCACGGATGGAAGGCAGCAAGCAGCACTATTTATACTTACACAATTAAAAAAAAAAAAAAAAAGAAAAAAGACGAGAAGCTGATGATTTCCAAGACTGGGAATAATTGACTCAGATTCTTCCCTGCCAGCCACTGGAATCGCTGCTTCTGGGCTGTTAACCCTTGAGGAGTCCCTGGCACCAGCCCTGCCACCCCCAGCTCCCCTGTCCTCACCCATCAGCCTCCATCAGCTGCTTCAAGGGTCAGAAGGTTGCTGGCCTGGAGGTGAGCAGGAACAGCCAAGCCTGGTGTTTGCATGAGATGGGGACATGGAGGCACAGACCCCTGCATCTGCTGGGCTGAGAGAGCTGAGAGGGGCAGCACAGAGGGGCTCTGCAGGGCTGCCACACTGAACTGGGGACCCTCAGGATAGCTTCCCTGAGGTAATGGCACCCACTGAGGGACAGGCTGAAATGTTCCCAATTTTGGGATTGCCAACTCACTGGGTTCACAAAGCACCTCCAAGGAGAACTCAGGCACTTCTTCTGAGACACCAAATGGGCTGGGGCAGGACAAGGTGCTTGAGGCCAGAAGGGACAGACCAAGGGGTTAAACCTCACAAGGGCAAGGGTTCAGAATCAGGCCCACTCACACATCCTGCCCCAGCCCCCCAAGCACTCCAGAGCTGTCTCTACACCAGCCCACTGCTGCCCACAGCGCAGGCAGGAGGAGGCTGTGCCTGTCACCAAGCGTGCCCAGCCTCCCCTGGATGCTCTGCACAGCCATTCCAGTCATGGTTTCCATGTGAAACACGCCGCCATGACCCAGTGTTCCACATTTCAGCTCCAGCTTTTCCCCCTGCTGGTGGCCCATGTTCCACGTGAGGCTGAGGTCCTGCTGCGCTTTTCATTTGGGAGGCCTGAGCTTTGCTTGGTGCCTAGCACACCCACACTCCTGCTTGGGGCTCCTGCAGCCCAGGAGGATGGAGATGGCTGTCCTGATGATGGAGGAGGTGTGTGCCCAAGTGAGGGGCAGCAGGTTTCCTGGCAGGGGTTTGCTGGTGGCGTGCTGATGGCTGAGGGGGTGGCACGCTGCTGGAGCGTGCTGTGCATGCAGCTGGGGGGCACTGGCACTGTGAGGCTCCCCCAGGCCTTAAGGGAGGAAGAGGCTCTGGGGTTTTCAGGGACACCTCACACAGCCCTGGCCAGCTCCAGGAGGACTTGGTGTGGGGAGCAGGGGTTTGCAGCCAGCACCCAGCTCTGCTCCTCACCCAGCCCTGGGAAAGGGGGTGCCAGGGTGACACCACCAAGGCTATTTCCTGACCCATCCCCATGACTAAGCAGGTTCCTTCCCAGATGCAACTGAATCTACCACTTCCTTCTCCTGCCAAGCTGTGCCTTAGTTTATTCCACAGCGACCTTGGAACCGCAGGCACAGCTACTGAGGCAGGCCAGGGGCTGCCACAGCCAGCTCAGGGAGGCCTCCTCCAGCACTGGCCTCAGCAGAGCTCCTGCAACCCAGGCCACAATAATTAGCTTGAACATGATTTTGTGTAGTCCCTGCTTGGTTTGTTGGTAGAACCCAGGGCCAGGGGGTTTAATCCTGCTGTTTCTCTACTCTGTTCTCCCCCCTTTCACAATGCAGCTGCTCTAATTCAACAGCACTTACCCCTGCCTTGCATGGGCAGGGCTCCCTGAATGCCATTCGCCCATGCTACCTTCCCCCCACAATTACCCTTCCCCAGCATCTGTCACTCTGTGGGTGTGGCAGTTCCCTCCATCCCTGTGGTGTCCCAGGGTGAAGAGATTGGGACCCTCTGCCTCAGCCCCAAAGCAGTATCCAATGCCCACACATGAGGACAGGCTTGAGGGACAGAGGTGATTCCCATCTCTGTGCTTCTGAGCTCAGTGGGACTGCAGGGCTGCACAGGGCAGTGCCTGCCCACCCATCCATGGGCAGAAAGCTCAAAGGCAGGCAGCCATCAGGGCAGATGCCTGGCTGTCCCAGCTAAGGGGAATCAAAGACATCTTCAGCTCTCCCTCAGAGAGTTCCCTGCCTCTCTCTTCTCTTCTCTGTTGGGATGGAGCTTTTCATTCATCAGTCACCTGCCTCACTGCAGAAGGGCTGTAATTAGGGCAGCACGTGCCTCCTCCTGCCTGCACATTTGTGCCCAGAGAGCATCATGTCCAGCAGACCCTGACTCACTCAGGGATGACCCTCTGCCCCTGCCATCCTTCTCCTTTCCAGTACATCCATGGATTTCTTCTCCTGCCCTCCCTTTGACAGCAGCAAGAGGGAGCAGAGTGCCTGAACCGGGTCTGTTCCTTGCCACACTGACCAGGGATGAAGCAACACAGGGATGGGAGAACAAAGGGCAGCTTTTGGATGGCTGGATCCATGCCACCACAGCTCCTCTGTTCCCTCCTCTTTCATTCACCCTGGCTGGTGGTGAGATGGACAGTGCAAGGAACGAGGGCATGGGGACGACCCAGTGATGCCAGCGTGGGCTGAGCCTCCTCAGCCTGCATGCAGGGCTGCCTTCCCCCACCACAGCCACTGGTGGCAAGGGTGAGAGTCCTTGTGCACATGGACACACCTCCGTGACTCCAGGCTGATGCCCCCAGAGATGCAGTGGTACCCAGGGCTCCTACCTGTGAGGATGGAGACGCTGTGGAAGCAGCTGTCCAGCTTGCCCAGGAGGATGGAGAGGAAGCTGTCAGCAGCCAAGCCGGTGACGTCCCGCGTGCTCTGGTCGTAGACCACCACATCCTGGTGGTCCTCCGCCTCCACCTGCAGGAGAGTGGCAAAAAACAGGGCATCAGAGAAATTGGCTGAGCACTGAGGATTCCACAGCACTGTGGGAAGCAAAGTTGAATTTAGTGGTCACACAAGCAGGAAATTCCAGCTCCACACCATTTCCACAAGCTGGTTTTGACCACCAAATGGAGTGTCCAGCCAGGCTGGGACTCTGCTCCATGGCTGCAGGTAAATGTCAGTAGAGGTGCCCATTGCCACACTCACCAACTACGAGTGCTTTTGAGCATCCTACCCAAAAGAGGGTCACTCCTCCCCATCGGCCACCCTTAGCTTACTGTTACTTAACTGCATCCCAGAAATCACCACAACTTCTTCCACCACTTACTCCCCGGCCAACTTTTGCCCTCAGATACTCCTCCTCAGTTTGGTGTCACAGGGACAGGAACACAGGGATTTGGGAGTGGTTCTGCAGGCAGGGATGCTCCCAACACAGCCCTAGTGCTGTGGCTGGAGTCAGAGGGGGCTGGATCAACAGCTCCTCAGGGCTCAGCCTGGGGACACCTTTCCACTGCACATCTCCCCAAACCTGCAGATCACCCCTAAGGGCTGAAGGAAAGGGAAAATCTCTTATATTACTTAGTGGATGTTCCAGGTGATGTGCTTTCTTCCTTTTGTAATGTGTGCTGGGGCCTGCACACTGCAGGGATAAACTGGGAAGAGCAGAAGGAGCTCCTGGGCTGCTCTCATGTGATTTTACATACCACAAACTGCTCCTAGCTGCTCACCACTGCAGGGATAAACTGGGGCAGGGGAGATGGTGGGCTAACCTGCAGGCACGCCTGGTGATGACTGGATTGCAATGAGAGCACTCAAGGCACAGACAGATACTCCCACACCTACCTGAAGGTCCATGCATCAAAAGGAGATAAAAATCCTCACAGAGGCACAGCTCAGCTCATCTGCTGAAGAGCTGGGTGTAGGGCACACATCTGCCCTGAGAGCACCTGCCCTTCCAGCCAGAGGAGGAGAGGAGGGAGAGGCAGCAGCAAGCAGGGAAGGAGGGAATGTGAGCAAGCTGCTCTCTCTCCAGCAGCTAGTGCTGGAGCTGCCCACTGGCCACCCTGTGCCAAGCCCTCTCCAAAATGTTTCTAGGAGACCACTTGAACAAGGTACCACTCATGGACACATGGACACCTGCCTCATTTTGTTGTCTCACTGCCAAGCCCTATCTCACCACCAGAGCAGATTCGCTCAGGGTTGCTGTTATTATTAATGCTGCTTTCCCACCCTGCTGCAGGTGCTTCCCTGCTCAGCAACGTGAGCACCATCCAAATGAAGCTGCAGGGAGCACTGGTTTAGCTGAGCTCATCAGATCTCTGCGCCGCAGCGGAAGGACAGCCCCGCAGCAGCAGGAATCCCCGTTGGGGCGCCACGCACAGCTGTGCTCCAGGAGGGGCTCACAGGACACACCTGTCCCCAGCCCGGCACAGGCACTGCAAGGCAAAACCGGCCCCACGGCTCAGCAGCATGACAGGAGGCATGAAAGGGCAGCATAAGAGGGAAAAGGACATGGGAATTCTAAAATAAGACACTGAAAAATGACTGGAGCCACCTGAGATAAGCCAGATGAGGATCTACTCCAGCATCTTTTCCTCAGCCAATCCTGACGCAGGACTTTTGTGGGAGGTCATCCAAGCACAGCTGGAGGGAAACACGCTGGCTGTCAAGCTGGTTCAGAACGGGGAACCTACCAGTCTTCAGCAGCTGCCTAGCCCTTCAAGGCTCCCTAGCATATCCCAAAGACCCAGCTCTCAGCCTGAAGTCCCATGCCAGCAAAAACATCTTTCCCCAAATGCACAGTGAGGCGGGAACCACTCTGCAGTGGGGCAGGGGCTCATCCCAGCTGCACAGTCCAGGCAGGAGAGATACCAGCTCTGGCTGAGCAGCATCATCCCACAATAGGATTTAGTGTTTCCTCCACACGGGCAGGCTTTGTTTGGGCCATTACTGCAGGGTTGCTGTGCGACGGCAGAGATGTGCAACACGGTTTGTCCGGTTTTCGGCTGTTTGGAGGGCCTGGAAGGGCCCGGAGTGGCCTTGGGGCAGCCCGCGTATCAAAGGACGAGAAGAGGCTTCAGTTCTTCTTTCGGTCTTTATGTTTATTAATTGTTTATCTAAAAGATTTTCTTTCGGCCCGACAGAGGTCTGCTCAGCAGCCAGCCATGAGCACACTGTCCTGCCCTCCGGACAGTCACCTATCTTTATACCCATAGTTACGTGTACAATATTTATCATTTTTCCCCAATACCTTTTATTCTTATTGCCCGGTGCACTTTTAGTAATGACCAATCCCAAAGTGCCACCATCACCAGAAGATGGAGGAGAAGAAGAAGAAGAAGAAGAAGGACAGGACACGCCCCAATTCCTCCATCTTACTTCTCTAAACCCCCCTGTACAGAAATCCTAAACCCTGTGTTTCACTCTCTAATTAACTTATCCCTTCTCCATTCACCCCGGTGAAATCCTCCTGTCCTCATACAGGTGTCGTCTCCTGTGTAGGATCAAAGTCCAGCCACCAGACACTTCTGGCAACATTCCAGGACTCCCGAGCCCCCCAAGGGTGGTCTCGGTGGCTCGGCACCTCAGTCCTGAGGTGCTGAGATCCCACAACGGTTTACATCTTATTAAAGTTATAAGGTTTCACTCAATGCAAATGCCAAACAAGTGCTAGCCTCTCATGGCCTGGCTGCAGAAAATAAATACCTGGCTTGCTGGGGTGAGGATACCTGCAGGAAAGTCCTGAGGAGCTCTCATGGAGCATACAAGGATGCACTGGCATCCCAGCTCCTCACCACAAAGGGAAATAAGACACGGATGTTTAATCAAGCACATAGGTCTCCCATTAATCTCATGCCCTCCTGAAACACCCCATCCCTGGCTTTAAACATAGTGAGGCTAAAAGCTAACTGGGCAGAGGAGGGTAAAGATGAAGAGATGCACCATACTAGATTCCTGCTTCTGCCAGGTGCTGGCACAGTGACATAGTTGAAAACAGGTATTCTTCTGAGAAGCAACACTTTCATGGGGACTGCTGTCACCCCAAAACTGCTGAAGTAATCCCAGGCATCACCTTCCAAACAGGGCCCCCACATCCATCTAGCAAGGGACAGGAAGGCCAAGATGAAGCAAGTCTTTTGGCTCCAGATAGATGTTGAGTGGAGCCTGCAAACCCATACACGCCTTTGAAAAGCTGCTGGCCCACTCCAGTGCTGGAGGTGCCCCAGAGCAGCTCCCCAAGAACAAACCTCCTCCCTACTAAAATCCTGGCTGGAGGGATATGAGCAGCCAGGACCAGCAGCTCCAACCAAACCCCAGCTGAGAGCATCGATTCACTGCCTTTGTGCCAAGCCCTGTGCCGCCCATCACTGTCCCCACTCTGGCTGGAGGTAACTCCCACATGGACACCAGTCCCCAGCACTGCGTGGTTAACACAGCTCGGGTCCCAACTCTGTCTCTCCCCAGCTGCCAAGCAGGGATAATGATGCTCTACAGGTGATCCAGGCTAAGATAAGAGTGAGCTATTATTATTATCCCAATTACTACTGACATCTCAGTCACGTATTGTTTCAAAACACAGTGAATCACCCCACTGAAACAACAGGGCTTCCATCAACATAAAGAGCAGCCAGGCACAAGGCTCAAAAATAAGCCCCAGCTTTCCCTCAAGCAAAACAGCTGCTTGCAGAGCCAAGCTCCTACTGCAAATAAATAAATATTCCTATCACCTGAAGAGACCCTTGTTTTGCCTCAAAGCATGGCTGTAGCTGCTCTGGAGATTGCTCCATTTCAGGAAGTGGTTGAGAGGTGGACTTTCCAGGGGGATCTTGAAGAAGTAAAATTTTCAACATTTCCCTAAAGAAATGCTAGTGAAAAACCCAAGCAGAAATTTCCCATAACCTCTGCTCTCCAAACAGCACTGGAGGAGCTGAATTATTCCAGTTGTTATAGGAATTTATTATTGTGAGAGTTTATTACTGTCAGCACTGGGAGAAGGGTTTAAAACCAACCAGAAGCAGTTATGTTGGTACCATTTCTGTGTGGAGGGAAATGACTGCAAGAGGAATTGCTGCTGCAGCTTTTCCCAGATTGGGCACCATGGGAAGATGGTCCACATGAGGGCTTGGGGAGCAGTGGCTATGGCAACTGCCACAATCGTGGGATCATAGGCATAATTCATTGAAAAAAAGAAAGGGATTTTAAATGTCTCTGCTTCTTCTTTCCTCCCAAATGGTCCTTTCCTCTCCTAGCTCCAAAAAAAAGCTGCTGTTACCCACAGCATCACTCCAAACTGCAGCCCACAGAAGCATTGCTGATGGTACCCTTCCTTAACTGCAGCATGGAAAAGGAGAGAGTAAGCACTGGGAAAAGCAAATTAGACAAATTCTCCCACCCACCCCTGCCAGCACGCAGGCAGGAGGAGCGGCGTTGGCGGCCAGGTGGGGTTTGCCCAAATGCTCTGCCCTGCATCAGCCCGTGTCGTTCCCCAGGAGGCGAACACCTCGCCTAGCATCGCTGGGATGGGATGAGCAGGTTCAGCTCTCTTTGCTGGCGATGAGGAGGAGTGGGACGAGGCTCGGGCTCGGGGCTGCCCTGTGGCTGCCCTGTGGCTGCCCGCGTCGCTGCCATCCGCCTGTGTCTCGGCAGCCCCGGGAGCAGGAAACAGGAGGAGGGCGGGAGGCCCGTCAGGAGGAATAATGGGGCCGGACAATCGCGCTACTGATGTCACCCTTCCTGCCATCTGCTCCCCAGGCCAGCCGTGCCCCCCGCCCCCAGCACCGAGGAGCCAGGGGCACAGCAGGGCTGGGGGATGTTGGCCAGCCGAGGCAGAGGAGGCAGGGAAATGACACCGGGTGTCAGAGGTGTAAATCAGTTTCAGCATCCCCTTCTGAGGATCTGTGCACCTCGCGGTAGCAGCTCACACTGATTTCTCGGGGTCCCAAAATACAGTCTGACTGAAATGGGAGGTGGGGAGAAGGAAAGGGGGCGAGAAGAGAGCTCATCACCCCAAAATGCAAACACACAAGTGCATGCACAGAAAGGCTTGGACAGCCCAAGGCACAGCCACCCCCCCCTGCTTTATGCCAGATGAGAATAGGGCAATGATCCCTCCCAGTATCCCACCCCAGCTTCCCAGGACAAGTGGCTTAACCTCTCAAGGGTGTCCTGAAGCTTAATTAATTCCTGAGCTGCATGTGTTGGGAGAGCCAGCAAGCCGTGGGCACGGCAGGGGCTGCGCAGAGCAGCAGCAGCAGTGGGGACATGCAGCCTCCTGCCCATGGATGTGCCAGGAGGCATTTCAGCCGCATCCAAAAGAAAAGCAGAAAGGAATTAAAGGGATGGCAACGCCTCTCTCCTCTTCTCCTAGCATCCCTGGTTACAATCACATCCCCAGCCAGTACGTGGACCATTATGCAATGATCCAGGAGCCGGGAGAAAACGATTCTTCTACGCTCCTTCTATGGGGACAGAGTAGGGAATGCCAGCAAGGACCAGCCGGCTCCTTTGGGAGCCCACTGCTCCACTGCAGCTGGCGAGCTGCAGGTTTGCAGGCGGATGGCATCAGCTGATGTTAACTCTTCCACGCTTCCCCCTTGCCTATCATCCTCCTCTTCTTCCTCCCCCCTGCGCATCGCTTGTTCTGCCGCGGCTGCCGCTCCACGTGACAGCGGCCACTGCAGAGGTGACCCTCGCAAGGAGGAGGGCGGCCGCCCCGCGCTCCTCGGAGCTTGCGAAAAACTGATTATTCTGCTTTATTCTCCAGGGGATTTAAGAGCAGCTAAAGCCGTTCAGGAATCAGTCTCCGCAATCCCCTCCGAATCGCCCAGCCCCGAGCATCCCCGCAGCAGATTGGCCCGAGGCCGCCCCCCCGCGCCGCCGGTCCCCTTGATCCCGCGGGCTGATGTCACCGCCAGCCAATGCGGACAGCGGTGCCTTCTCGGGGCGGCGGGCCGGGGGGGACACACGACGCAGATGGCTCCAGCTGGGCCCAGCATTTGATTAATCGCCTGAATTACCCTCGCTTTGCCATAAAATTACAAGGCGGCAGTGGGGGAACGGTGGGAGCGAACTGGCAGGGCTGTGATGGCAAAACACCCCTCGAATGGTGAGCCATCCTCGGGGTCGTCCCGTGGCCTCTGCGCGACCCACGGGCGCACCCCCCGGGCACCATCTCGGCACCCACGGGCACTGCCCTGAGGCACCATCTCGGCACCCATGGGCACAGCCCCCGGGCAGCATCTCGGCACCCACTGGTGCAGCCCTGGGGCACCATCTCGGCACCCATGGGCACAGCCCTGGGGCAGCTTCTCGGCACCCATGGGCACTGCCCTGGGGCAGCATCTCGGCACCCACGGGCACAGCCCCCGGGCAGCATCTCGGCACCCATGGGCACAGCCCTGGGGCAGCTTCTCGGCACCCACCAGCACAGCCCTAGGGCAGCATCTCGGCACCCATGGGCACTGCCCTGGGGCAGCATCTGGGCACCCATGGGCACAGCCCCCGGCAGCAGCTCAGGAGGGCACGACCCAGCCCCCGGCCCTGCAGGGACACCCGGCACTGCTCCGGCCGGCACTCCAGCCCAGCTCCGTGGCTCAGAGCCACCTCTATTATTTAACCAGGAGCGATAGAGAGAAGCCTGGGAGAGATAATATGCCATGACACCGGATAAGAGCTTCTGGCGTCACAGGGGAGGAGGATTACATGTCCCTGAATGGAGTTAGAGATGACAGAGGGGAGGGGAAGAGTTTTTAGCAGGGGATTAAGTTTACAGCTCCAGGAAGGCTTTGGGGGCTTGTTTGCTGTCATAAGACAAGTCCTAAAGCTGATATACCTGTTAGACTTGCTCGGGGAGGGCTCCTGAAGCAGGGAGCCACGTCAGTGGGGTGGGGGCAATGAACAGGTCCCCGAGGACAGCCCTGAGGCCAAATGAGCTCACACTTTAGCTCTCCAAAGGGTGTCAAAGAGATGCTGCAGATACCGTGGTCAAGGGATGGAGGGGAAGGATCCCTTAGGCCTGTCTGCATCCCACAAGAGAAGAGGGTGTGAGCACTCACCAGGAAAGGTGAGGGTCAGATCCCTTACCTTCATCTTGGAGGCAGGCTGGATGAGCTCCGTGATGGAGACCTTGTCCTGCTGCAGCCTTCTCTTGACAAGCTTGGAGCAGCAGATGTTGACGGAGCTGAGGACGTGCCAGGAGTTGTACTCCACGAAGGAGCGGCTGTCGATGACCAGGGTGCCCTCGGCTCCGTTCCTCAGGAGGCTGGCCAGCTTCTTGGGGTCCATCACCTTGCGTGGGAGCCTGTCCCCAGCCATAACGGGCCAGTCCCCTCTATGGCAAGTGGGGAGCAAGGGCTGGAAGGGCAGGGCACCCGTGTCCCCAGGGGGAATGAGCGAGGGCTGAGGGGTGGGCAGGGCAGCACCTGTCCTATTCTCCTCACGCTGCTAATACCCAGAGTGCCAACTCATTGTGCTGAACCTGGAGAGAGAAGAAAGGAGACAACAACCATCAGCTAAGCAGGATGATCTCTGGGTGTCTTCAGAAGGGTGCAACAAGCCACACTTTCGAGGTGTGTTCTCCCAGCCTGCTGGCATGTGCAGCTCTAGAGCAGCCCAAACCAGAGGTTTTCTCTTTGTATTTAATAGCCCTCAGCAGAACTTTCTTCCATAAATTTGTCTAATTGCTTTTTGAAGTCATGTCAGCTTTTAATTTAACAGCACAGTGGCCAGTGGCGGGGAGTAGAATGGCTTGCCAGTTACACTGAACAAGTCCTTCCCCTGGTTTGCTCCAAATCTGCTAACTGATGGCTCCTGCGGGTGAGCTTTACTGCTTCACCAGAAAACACCACATGTGCCTGTTCCCTAATCTTCTCCACAGCTTTTACCACATTTAGACCTAATTTAAGGAGCTTTTCAGGTCAAAGTATCTACAGAGCCACCAGTTACACAGACAGACACCTTTGGCCATGCTGGCCAGCCCTGATGTGCCATGTTTGAGAGCCAGGCACACCAGGGACCTGCACAGGGCAAGATGTCACCTCCTTTCCCTGTTTCCAGTCCAACAGCTCCTCACACTCAATTTGCTTTTTCTGACCTCTGCCAAGCCCAGAGCTAATGGTTTCACAGAAGCAGCTTAGCTCAGCTCTAAGGTTCTGCTGTTGCATGGTAAAAGCTAGTTCGGGGCCCATCACACATACCACCAAATCAGGTTTGCTCACTCATGCTCATCACTTCACACTGGATTTCACCTGCCTGTTTATCAGAGCCTGCTCACAGGTATTTCTGCCAGCTTGCCTCCTGGCAAGTCAAGAGAAGATAAGAAATCAAGGTGGCCTTTACTCCTGTCTTCAAGAAAGAGGTCAGGCATCAAGGCAGAGGTGCTGGGAAGCTGTACTTGGACTGAGATGGCCCCAGAGAGCTCTCTGCTTCTCAGCACCTAACTTGCACAGAATTGGAAAGGGGCTTCACACACAGGAGTGCCTGGCATACAAATACCCTGTGTCCCCAACTCAGGAGCTGAGGGGGGTCAGCTTGGTGCTCTCTGAGGTGAAGAACAAGATTCCTCCATGTCCAGCCCACGAGGTCTGCAAGGACAGCAGGCAGGCTGGGGAGCATTCAGCTCAGGGTGTCCTCTTAAGTTTTAATGGAACACGTCACTGCAAGGATGTTTTAATGGCATTAGGTTTTAAAGCCACTGCAGTCATTCAGAAAATAAGCCTGGGCTACTACCCGGCTCCTCCTGTTCTTGCCAGACAGTGTTTTAGAGAGAAGCCACAAGCTGCTCCATGGAAGCTTTAATGCATCTGACTTAGGAGGCCTATGAATAACGTGCCTGGAAAGGCCAGCGTAAAGATTTTCATTGACCTCTCCACAATCAGGATTTGGTCCACAGACCAGAGGAGGCTTACGAGTCACTCTGATCCGAGCAAGCCAGCAGGTCCCATTGAGCTCTTACACCTGCAGGCACCTACTGCAATGGCAGCTCAGGATACAGAAAAGATGCTTGAGTCAGACACACTACTGGGTGACATGACAGGGACCTCATCACCAGCCACCAAACCTGGAGACACTGCCAGCTTGTAGGAAAAGAATGGAAAGCCACAGAAAGTGAGGATGGGGGTTCCAGCATTGCTCTGGCTCGTGACTCCAGCACTAACAGCCCAAACTTCCCTGGGCTACCAGACCTGCCTCCCAAAGCAGGGGTAGGTGTCCCAGGCTTCAGTCCCAGGATGCAAGCTCCCAGCAGGAGGCCACATTAGGATGTGCAGTACTTTTCTGCCCTTGTATCACACCCCTGCTGCCTCTGCCAACGTGTTAATACAAATTACAGGAGGGAAAAAAATCCCCTAGAAGCTGAGCTAGTGACAGCCCCTCCTGGCACAAAGCATTTTGGCAGCCCGGTGGCACTCTGGCACACTGTGCCTGGCCCCACGGAGCGTCCCGCAGCTCCTGGCCACAATTCCAATTAGCGCAGCCCCCTCGGCGGGCACCGGGCGGTCCCGCCGCCGCAGGAACCCCGCTCCCCCCTGCTCTCCTCAGGGGGCTTAAAAATTGAAACAGTTCTAATTAGGGGGTCTGAGGGGGAGCGAGGCCGGCTCCTGCTGCGATATGACACACCTCATTACGTCGCTACCGCCTTGCCAGAAGCCCCCCTGCTGTCCCTTGGCTATAGAGCCAGGGCACTCAGAAAGGATGCAAATTAGCCAGCTTTTCCCCTTAGTCTTCCTTTCACACCCCACTCCCCAAATCGCTTTCTGCCTCCCTTACCCATCAGGACACCAGGCTGTGAATGTTTTTTGGCTCTTCCAATTACATTGAAGAAAGAAAAAGGGAATAGAAAGAGCTGACAGACAAAAAAACCCTGGAATAATACAGTGGCAGAGGGATGAGTGAAGCGGGAGGAAGGAGTGATCCAACACTGCAGAGCCCCTCCAGATATAACATGGTATCCAACCTCCAGATAGCGAGCAAGGGGTAAAGTTTCAGGGTGTCAAACACAGAAGGTTTGACAGGTGATGAACTTACGACTCTTAAGAGAAACCAAGGCACAAGAGGCCTTCTCAAAGTCTGGCAGATGACCGGAAGCTTGGGTGGAAGAGATTGGAGAAGACAAAGGAGGTTTCCCAAGTCAGCTAATAACCCCCTTCGTGCAGAACAACCAGATAAACCTCTGCAGGCACATGTGACATGTCAAACAGGTCCCACTCCCAGCTCCACCCAAAAGATGTGGGGGAAGGCAGGGCAAGGTTGGTCCATTCTGCCCCTTTTTCCTTTACAGGGGATGGAGTTGGCCAGCTCAGTGTGGTCATGGGGAGCTGTAACCTTGGCATCAGAACCAAGACATGAGGACCTCTCTGTGAAGGTTCAGCCAGGTCAAATGCAGAGAAGCAACTTCCCTGACAGCACCTTCAGAGCACCTTGCAGGCTGTGTATGAGATGGTCTCTGAGAAGAACCAGCTGTAATGTCCTCATACCTGGGAAGACCAGAGAAGGAGGGAGAATGTCTTTCTGCATTGCTCAGATGGGTCAGAAGTAGAATTGAGAGAAGAGGCTTAGCCGTGGAGCACTGCTAAAGTAAGAGATCTTCTCACCCTGGTGAGAGGAGACCAGGGGAAAAGGTTAACCTGGAACCTAAATTAGGGTTTCAGAAACATAGCTGTGTTCCTCTCTTATCAGTTTATTAAAGCCATCTTAATCTTCTTGAGTGTTCCTGAAGAACATTATCATAATCCTTTAATCCCACCTCTCCCTGGAGTGCCTGTAATGAGGAGATGGGCACATGGCTTAGCTGAATGGGGACAGCCAGCAGGAGAGGCCACACTTCGGCTGAGGGCAGAAAGATGGGCAGAGATTAGCAGAGGGCTGGGCCAACTCAATGGGACTCTGTCCCTGGTGTCACCTCCACAGATGCGTGTGTAGGTGAGGGGAGCTGGCCACACGAGTCACAAGCATGGCAGAGGTGCACACAGCATGCCAGTGTTCAGCCTGGCTGTGACCTTCTTCTGGGCAGGCCAGGCAAGAGAGCAAGAAAATCCAGGATACAGCCTGAGTCTGTCCATGTGGCATGAGAGACTGCAGAACTCATCCCTGTGCTGGCCCAACCCAGATGGAGGCCACTTCCCTAACTGCTCATCTTGCACAAGGCCCCAGCTGAGAGATGTGGTATGGGAAAGGCGCAGATCTGGTTCCTCTTTTACTGGAGACATCAGCTGGAAGGGCAGCAGGTCTCTACAGCAACCCCAAACCTCCCTAACCAGCATGTCCGCTCCTAGCACCAAGCCAGTGCTGTGTCCTGGAGAGCTCCACCCTCCACAGGCAGCCCCACCGAGGAGATGCTCCCCCCACGGCCACAGGAAGCCAGCCTTGCTGCAGGAACACATTCCCATCGTGCCTGTGGGACTGCAGCCACAGCAAATTCCATGTGATGCTCATCCCAGGAGCACACTCTTCTGATGGTGTCTCCACCTTGAGTTTACCAAGGGATAAGAGCACCACAGGCAAACATTTGTTTATTTGTCCCCAGTAATCTGAAAGCAGCCACTCCTGAAAAACTGCCACCTCCACCAGGGACTCAGTGGCACTGACCTATGTGATTTGGCTTTTCCTCTTGCAGCCCTGGGGGCTGGGGGAAATATCTGTGCCTTGTGAGCCTGGCCAGGGCTCCTCCATCCATCCATCCATCCATCCATCCATCCATCCATCCATCCAGGTCAGCCCTGCACCAGCCTCAGGCTCACTGCTGGGATGCTGGCAGGACCCCACCGGATCCCAGCTCTCCAGACACTTCCTAAGATGCAAACCACGGTGCTTTTTCCAAGCCCCACACCCTTTTTCCGTCCTCATCCCTTCATTTCTTTCAAGTGCTTCAGCATTTAGCAAGCTCCCCTCGGCTGGCTCACACTGTTTGAGGGATTCCTAAATCACAGGACCATTACTAATTATTATTATTATTTTGCAACAGCAATCAGGGACGCGGGGCTCATTAACAAGTTAGCACCTCTGGTTTCCCTGGAAACCCGCAGCTGCCAGGCAACGGCAGCTCCGGCCCGAGGCGATGCCACTGCAGCGCCCTCAGCTCATTCCCAGAAAGATGCTCGGGTCCTGCACGGGCTGATGAACCCAGCCTCGCCAATGGGATGGGGTTAGGGAACTCCAGGATGTGTCCCCTGCTCCACCCCATCTGCTGGGAACCTCAGCCCTTCTTCCCGATCCTGTTCTGCCACTCACAGCATCACAAACTGCGCAGCGGCTCCTCCCTCCCGGCGAGCCATGCAGGCTTTCTCCAAGGGCGAGGAATTTGGAGCATAATGATTCCCCAGAGTAACAGCGGGACAAAGCTGTCAGGTGCCTGCAGCAGCCGTTTTGGAGGTGATGTAACTGATGACGATTTCTCAGCAGTTACTCAAGGTCCCTTTAAGAGGCAGCACAAAAGATTTCTCTGCTTGACTATGGAAAAATGGAGTGGTGTGGTTTTTTTTT